CTTAAGAAATTTTTTGCAAAGATACCTGCCTTGCTCTACAAAAGCATATAATAATAATAATAATAATAATAATAATAATAATAATAATAATAATAATAATAATAATAATAATAATTGCACTGTGCAACTCTATACTTGTTTAACCCAGAAGTAAGTTCTGTGGAGCTAACTGGAGCTTCCTCCCTAATACGCATGTTTAGAATTAGACACAGAAACAATTACCGCTTTTATATCATGTTTGCTAGTCACTGCTGTAACAGAATTTCACTCCATTTCAGCACCACACCCTATACTTCTAGTACAATTCAGCAAAGAAATGTTTCTGAATTGAATGCAGTTCACAATAACTTAGATGGCCTTTCCCTACCCTTGTGCCCTCCAACTATGTTGGACTACAACTTCCAGAATTCCCAACTGCGATGGCTAGAAACCTGGAACTGATAGACCCAACTCATCTGAAGGGTGCCACTAAGACTGATCTAGATGATACAACAAGAGGCATTTGATCCTACACTGATTCAGCACTCGGCTTAACTAATGGTAGACAGTATCAGCTTTGCGTGGTCACTTAACTCTCACAGAGTAATTTGTGACATGGCAACAGTTTATCATATGTTTCTGTATGACAAGTTTCAATAATTAAAATGTAAAGAAGACTATTTGGCGACAGCGTGGCCTAATTTGCAAGCCTGCTGCATGCAAATTATATAGAACAACTCAGTGAATTTATTGTTCTATAGTGATTTATTCGGTCATGTCAGATTAGTAATTTGGATCGGTTTAGAAGCCATAATAATTAAGACAAGGAAAATGAATTAATCAACTAACAATACAATCAAAATTGCACTCAAACCAAGGAAAACAAGCTGGAAACCTTAAAGGAGAAGGGAGAGGAAAGGAGGCAGGAGGCGGGGGAGGAATCTTAAGTTTGCAGATCTCTTAATGCGCAAATGAAATAAAATAAACTTTACAATTTAGATGGATTGCGTTCAAGAGCACTACTGTAGCTAAAAAGTGATAATGCTTCAAACATTTTTCAAAGTAAAAAGTTAAATATTTATAAGCACCCAACCACATTTCATAAATCACTAACTATTATTATTTTATATTCCTGATGCTTCCCAGGCACAGCATGCGAATCAAGGCATGGAAAGTTGCAGAGAAAAATATCCTCCGTAGGAACATGAATCAGAGATTCTCACCAGAACCCTCCACTGAGTCTTCTCTCCCACAGTTCTGCCCCATCTGGCCTTTCCCAGAGAATCAAAACCTCGCAGCCTGGCTAATTCCAAACAAACCACAACATGACGCCCACGGACGTGCATCGCTCTTCGGCCATTAGCAACACAGGACAGGCGTTCCAGTAATAACGTGGCGCACCGAACAAGCTAACAAACACACCCTCTCAAAATAAATCTACACCAAAGAATAGCAGCCCTTACCTGTCAATTATCACCGGATCTGAAGGAGTCTCATTTCTGTTGCCGCAGCTTTTCTTGTCACAACAGCGGCTACGGAGCAAGAAGGAGAGGATTTAGTGCAGCTATTACACTCTAAAAATCATCATTACAGATACAGGAAGGTTCGTATTGCTGGCTAGAGTTACCGCTCTCTCCCTGCCTGGAAATCAGTCGAATATGGTAGGTCACATATGGGTTAATTGCTAGGTTTGACTGCTTCCACAGCTGGCACACAGCAACTGCCACATACACGCAGAAAGGGGAAAGGGGGAACACAACTTTTACAGTTCATAATGCTAGGTTTCTGGAGCTGATGCTAATGACCTCCAGGTACATTGCAGATGGTTCAAGGTGTCCTAGACCAAGAGTGGTAGCAAACACCTACAGGGAAGCAAAGAAAATTCTGATTTTGTGCACTGGTTTTTTTTTGCCCTTCACCATCATGAAAATCTCAGTTTTTCCAGACAAACAGACATTGTGGCTGTGGAAATCTTTGTGAGTGCAATGACAAGGGAGAGAAGAAACTCAGAATCCCAAAGCATGTAACAACAACTTTAAAATGGCATAACAAATGTAATATATTCACAAAGACACTTATTTAGACTAAAGAAAATAGTTAAATAAAGGCAATGTGACCATAAGTGGCAGGTCTGCATTTACAATTCTGTTGGATATCATAATACAGTTCCACACATGAAATAATCCTGCTCTGACCCCACCCCACCCCCCACCCCCCAAGTGCTTAAAAATGTATTCCCGGGTCAAATTGCAAGGTTTTTATTTTTTTCCCACTGTTGCTATTCTAGGAAAATTACCATATTTACTCAAAAGGAAGATAAAGCTCAGTTACACACACACACACACACAGAACTTAGATTAGGAAAAAAAAAACTAATTTTCTATTAGGATATTCTCAGTGAAACTAAAATGAACCTGACTTGCACTGTAAAGGTAAATTATTGAGGATAGGGGAAACATTTATTTTTTCTTTCAGATAAATACAGTAAATGCCAGGACTATCACATCATTAGGTAAAATCAACAAAACTAGAATAGAATCCCTAATCCTCATCCTTTCATTGAGACAAATAAGGGGAAGACCCTAGTTCATAAATACTGAAAAATGAGGTACGAACAAAGTCTGTTTGGCAACATAAATCTTGCAAAAATTTAGCCCTTTCTTAGAAATACTGTAACCCTGTCCTAACTCTGTAGGAATTTGGATTCTCTTTCCCATAAAGCAACTCTCCTCAACCAGGTGCCATGTCCTGTGCTTGTTGAAGGTGATGGGAATTATAATTAAGGGTAGTATCTTAGGGAAAGCATGAAAGAACCAGAACACAGGGAAATATTTCAGACATTCCACATCAGACCAGTTCCCATATCAAACTAAGTCTTACGGTTGGCTTAGAGGTGAATGACCCATGCATACCCGTTGGTTTGACCCATAAGTTCATATAACCTGGTAGCCAAGTTTAGCATTTTTCTGTCCAGGAGAAGGCAGAGACTTGAAGTCATAAATTAACTAAGAACAAACCATGCTTTCATTCTCCCATCTGTAAATCGGTCCTACATTCAGACGTACCAAGAATATTATGAAGCTTTTCTTCATTTTTTGCCTTGTGAAAAATAATTTTAGGATAAATCAGGATTTGGGGACTGTCTATCAATGATACAGGGAAGGACAAATGCATCCATTTCACTTTCTAAATCTATAAACTTTTTTCCAAACATGTTGCATTTCTTTGGCCTTCTGTTTGAGGAACTTTTTTAAAAAGATTTTTTTAAACTCTGCATGAAAATTCATATGCATTTTCCACAGCATGAAATGTACCTAATATATAATTTTTGCAAGTCCTTTTCCCGTATAAATGCCTTTTTATATATTATATTTCTTTACCATATCCATTCTCAATGCATTTTTTAAATTGCACTGTCAACTTCAAAAAGCAAAACCCAAGAAATAGTTCCATGTCGCTTTGTTTATTAGTCTGAAAAATACAATTTAGATTGGTTTCTATTAAAATGTAACTTGCAACATTAACATTAAATAACATAGTTCACTCATTCTATCATGCTACTTTTTTTCCTTTCCATGCAGAGATGCTTTTAAAAAAACTATAAATACTTGTCTTTTCAAAATTAGTACTAAGTAAAGCTAAAACTAGCAAAAAAATAAGAAATATATGATAGTTGCAAGCAACTTTTAAAATTCTGCATAACTGGAGAATTTGTACGTTTGGTGTACTTAAGGCACCAGGCTAGAAATGAGGAGACTATGCGTGCTAGTCCCACCTTAGGCCAGCTGGGTGACCTTCGGCCAGTCCCTGTCCCTCAGCCCTAGGAAGGAGGCAATGGCAAACCACTTCTGAAATCTTGCCAAGAAAACTGCAGGGACCTGTCCAGGCAGTCACCAGGAGTGAGACTGATTTGAATGCACCAAAAAAAAAAAAAAAGGCTAAAACTTCAATATCTCTCAGAAACAAGCAAAGAAATAAGAAGTGATCAATATATGATTGTTTCAAGCAACTTTTAAAATTCTGCATAACTGGAGAATTAGTAAGTTAAACCCGAATGAAAATATTGTGAACTATAGTTCATAACAGGTAAAGAAAATCCTTGAAACTCCTGTCAGACATTGAGAAGAAAACGTAGAAGTGCATTATGGTGAATATCCAATATTAACATGAAGCAGATTAATTTATCTGCTCTGAATCTCATTCTGTGTAAGTTTTGTATAATGGTGGCACATGTAATAAATTGATTGTGACCATGAGCACAGGAAGTGTGTGTGTGTGTGTGTATCTATTAGCTAAGCACAGCTTTGGGAAGCCTATTTAGATCAGGACCTGAGCTTAGAAAACAAGGCTGAAACCCCCCACCAACCTTGATCTCTCTGCGCTATTCCTGAGAACAGGGAGACACAACTTTCCTTGGACTGAGGGCACAAAGTCTTTGAACACCATATCAAGGGCTGCGGTACATAAGTGGGCAGATTTGAAAAGTTGGGATTCAAAGTAATTAAATAGTAATATTATGACTTTTCGTTAATCCAATTATGTAACCAATAAATTTTAAAGCAGGCACACTTCGAGTGACCTTCTTATCCACTCACATCCCAAATGATTCCTTGGTTTAGAATAAATTATACTTTTATATGCATCCCCTTCCATACATACAACACAGAGACATATACACATGAGTTTCATACACAAAGCAGCAGAGGAGGACAGGGCAGAGAGAGACAGTAATGTAGGAGCAAAAGAATTTGGGAAAATGGGGCATGAAGGTCTCCAAACCTCTTGTAGGCCACATACAGCCCTTGGACTGCTGGTTATTTGCCAATGGCTTAGCAGAAAAATCCACTGAGAGATCCATTCCAAAACTTGCCCATCATTTTCGTTTTAAGCAGCCTGTCTAAAGAGTGAACAGTACGCTGGACAGATTCTGGCTCGTACCTCATTTCAGTCGTAAGTGTATCAGGTAGCTTTAGGGAAGCCACTATTTCCTCAAAACCTGCTCCTCCACAGACATATATAAAAGCCATGAAATTCTAGAAAAATATTATCATATTAATATATCATAAGGAATTAAACTGAATATAGAAAGCTGTGGATTTGGAGCACATTCTCATGGTGGGCCAAGTTTATGGCACATTTTGTAAATAAGTGTCTGAAGTTATTTCTGCTACCTTCCATGCATGCGGACCAGCATAAGCTGACATAAGAACACATTCTCCTTCGTGAGGCAATTGTGAAAGGAGCCACGGCTTACGCAGTATGAAATCCTAATCCAGTCTGGCTTTCCAGCCAGACTCATCCATGATTTTTCGTCTCTAACGTGTTATTCTTTCTCTCCTTCTCTCCAGAGGATACTTATTCTGTGAATATTCCATTTTGATGACATAAACTTACAGTTTTATTATATCGTTAGTCTTGATCAAAGGCACTGTTGAAAGTTGTTTAGGAATTATGTATCTATAACAAGCTATTTTGAAGCACAGGCCTTCACTGTTTCATTTCTGGAATGAAGAAATTTCATCTTAGAGAGAGCAAGCTGTCTTTCACACCATATGGCTAATGGTAGTGCATAGCAATTAGCTGGGCTGATTAATGGGGAACAGACTCTAATTTTATGCTTATAATTGAAACTGCATTTGAACCCCTGTTGCAGATTCAGCACATCCCAATCTGCGCTTACAGTGGGTTAGAAAGCCAATGGCAGCAAATCCAGGAAAGTGTAGGCAACAAAAAGTAAGTTTCCTTATTTGTCAAAAATATGGTTGATTGATCAGAGATTTGTGGGATAAGATCAGGCCGCCTGATACATATATAGCACTACACACTTCTGTGAACACCTCTGAACACTCATATTGAACCTAAATATTTTAAGAAGATACTTGCTTCTTGTTTCAAGTAAACATGAGGACTTTTTTTCAGTTTGCTCATATGGCTTTGCAAAGCAGAGAAAAACGGAAAGATCTACTGAAATCGAGAACACAGTTCAATGCTCAATACCCTGAGCAAAGGGTTTTCACATCAAGAGATATTAGCAGCATCGGAAGCAAGGGTAATTGAAATAATCACGTATTTTCCCCTGATCTATGCACACCCCCATTCTCTACCTCCATTCTAGCTGCTTCTGTTGTTTCCCAATGCCAGTTTTAGATTATAAACCTCATGAGTAAGGACCTGTCTTGTCAATTCTTTGTAAAGCTCTATGACCATATAAAGCTCTATATAATGAATAAACAGACAATAATAAAATTGGATAACGCTGGGGCCGCACATGTGTATGTATCTACACATACAAACAGACTAACATTTTCGGCGCATCTGAAGTAATATATATAAAACTGCATGCTTAAAACCTGCATGACCCAGTTCTGTTGACACGACAAATGAAGAAGATTCTGGTGGGTGCCACAATGCTATACAGAAGTGATGGGAAATTGTCCTACTATCTTGAATAAATAAGGCTAGCTGCTTTTCAATACAGAGGCAATCAAGAAAAAGGTAAGTCTAACCAAAGTCCAGCTGAAATGAGTATTTCTTTAATATGAACAAATTTAAGTCACAGAATTTCCAATCATTATAGTTGTTGGTCATGCTGGCTGTGAAGTCTGGAAGTCTGGAAGTTGTACTCCAAAAAGTCTGGAGGGTGCCAAGTTGAGAAAAATGAACTAGTATCTAATTCTGTTTTCTAACTGCCAAGAGACCCCCACTTTTTCCCCTAAAGGTGAAGGAAGGCTTCAGTTGAGAGCTAGATTTTCTACTTTTAAAAGGGAAGTATCAACCACTGTTTATTGTTTAATTTACTAAACAATTTATATCCCATACAGTACGCTAATGCTTGTTCACAGCAAAATCCAGGGTACAACCTGATACTATTTCAGCATCTAACAGAACCCACCTTACACATCTACAGCCCACTCTCAAATTCCACCTAAGACTAAATGTGCATTTTTTTTCCAGCTCCTTTTCATCTCCCTTTTTGCTTTGGTTTGTTGTCTTGGTAATGACATCTTCTTGAGAACTCAGATGTTATCACACTCCATTTTGCAACCTTGAGGTAGCCTAATCAAAATATTCTCATAACATGGATTTTTGAATGTCAAGATTGCTTCTATCTAAGGGAGCAGCACTGTACCCTGAACCCCTTAGACAGACAGACAGACAGACAGATAGACAGACAGTCAGACAGACAAACAGACAGACAGACAATATCTCTCTGTCTCTATCTCTATCTCTATCTCTATCTCTATCTCTGTCGATAGATAGATAGATAGATAGATAGATAGATAGATAGATAGATAGATAGATAGATTTAGAATACTGATGTAACCAAAGCTAGAGGCAAAATGGGAGCTCACAGAGGACAGCAGAGTCGGTTCTCTACTGTGCCCCATAAGCCATATTTTGGGATATGTACGCATCTACAGATGCAATGTCAGGGGTTCTAATGCATAACTCTAAAATTGTACAGCAGAACTAACTAAAACACCATATCAAAATCCACCCATGAGTGTTCTTCTTTTATTTATTATATTTCATTGATTTATTGTCACATTGGTGTTCACATGCTCACAACAAGCCAAATGAGGAATACTGAGACTGAGTGATTAACACACAGTTACCTCTCCAGTTCTTATTAACATCAGAAACTTGGACATTTGCTGAAAATGTGCCAGACATTTACCAGTAGATGCAGATTTACATTCTGCCCAGCCCTTTTCTGAGATATTAGCTTATCCGTCCAAATTAGTGTCATCTACAGATTTTATTGATCTTCCCCCCACCCATTCTTTTGTTCAAATCATTCTGAACACGATACACAATATGGAATCCAAAGCAGAATAGTGCTCCCCATTTTGTACTTAATTCTAAGAACTGTTTAATGAATGTTATTTGGTACAGAGTACAACTGCTAGTCACAAATCCACCATGCTCCTCCCAGGAAATCTGGACTGGAAACAGATAAACAAGCACTCAAGAATACAAGAACTTCTATTAAGTGCATATATTGTAGAAGAGCTAAGAGGTCATTATAAAAGAATGCCAGCAACTGCTGCATATCAAAATGAGTCCTATTTATAGGAAAATCAAGTTTCAAAATTCTTGCACTTCCCCCAGAGCAATGCAACACACTAGATGCTCCTATCTTTGGTGTGGGAGATTGGGGTAATGGACTGCTCTATTATCAGGCTATTTACTCTTGTCTGTGTGAGAACTAGCTCTCACACATCATCTAGCCCACTAGATTTTCCTCTACTGGATTTCTGCCTATCACCTAGGCAAAACATAGTTTGTGTCCAAAAAACTCAGTGTCAACTATAAAAGAGGCCACATTTCATTTTGAGAACCCAGACTTGTAATAGTTACACATTGGCTGAGTTCACTGACTATTTTAACCAGATTTTTTTTTCTTCAGGATGGGTTGAATAAATCATAATACCCTGCTTCATACACAGTTTAAACCTAGAATGAGTGGATTCACAGATCACACTAAGCTAAAAAAAACAAAAACAAAACCTTAACAATACATTATAACTTAACTTGATGTATACATTCAGCCACTGGAGGCTGTGAGAGTCTGGATGAGGAACAACAGGCTTCAACTGAACCCTGGCAAGACTGAGTGGCTTTGGGTTTTGGAGCCTGCCAGTTCTAGGACTATGCCATTTTTGGTGCTGGATGGGATGGCACTGCCCCAGACAGACCCAGTACACAATCTGGGTGTCCCCCTGGACTCACGACTCCTGCTCGAAGAACAGGTGGCAGTCGTGTCTAGGAGGGCCTTTGCACAGCTTCATCTTGTGCATCAATTGTGCCCATTTCTAGATCTGGAGGCTCTGCTCACAGTCATTCGTGCCCTAGTCACCTCCCAACTGGATTACTGTAATGTGCTCTACATGGGGCTGCCCTCGAAGAGCATCTCAAAGCTTCAGCTCATGCAGAATGCTGTGGCACGGGCAGTTATGTGTGCTTCTAGAACAGCATATGTTACACCTCTGCTCCGCAAGCTGCACTGGTTGCCAGTTTGCTTCCAGGTGCAATTCAAGGTACTGGGTTTAACCTTTAAAGCCCTTCATGGCACGAACAGGGTTATCTGAGGGACGACCTCTCCCTGATTACATCTGCCCATCCCATCAGATCCAGGAGAGCAAGTATGCTGCGGATCCCGACTGCTAGGGAACTACACTTGGTGGGTCCTAGGAGGTGGGACTTCTCTACCGTGGCACCTGCCTTATGGAACATTCTCTTCCCCACCCCCAATGTCAGGTTAGCTTCATCTCTGTTAATGTTTCAGAAGTCCCTCAAGACCTGGCTATGTCATCAAGCCTGGGGGTCCCAGGGGACCAGGGAGATCTTGAGGTAGCTCCATTACTGTGGTTAACATTCATTCTCTTTTGTGCCTTGTGGTTTTTTTTTTTACAGTTTTTAATAATGACTGCTTTTATATATTTATTGTTTTAATTTATTGTTGTACAACGCCCAGAGTCACTTTTTGTGAGATGGATGGCCATATAAATTTGATAAATAAATAAATAAATAAATACATACATACATACATACATACATACATACATACATACATACTTCAGGTTATTTAATTTGGAAAACTTTCTTTCCCCTTAGAATTTCATCACAAGACTAACTCTTGAAATATGTAAGAATGCTAATTTCATTTAATTGTTGGGCTACAACTAACAGCGTGCATTGATGAGCCTTGCTAAGATTGTATCAGGCACCCTTTCCCAACCTTGTGCTCTACAGTTGTGTTTGATGCAACTCTCCTTAACCCTGGACAACTTGGATAAAAGAACCTGTTCTCCAAAACAACAGAAAGATACCAGGCTAAGGAAACTGATTCAATTTATTAAGCAGCCCAAAACCGGGGGGGGGGGGGG